CCTCTGTTATTGGACATTTAGATTATTTCTCATTTTTTCACCCACATAAATATCCCACGGATGTACTTTCTTACATATAAATCTTTATGTGTATATCTAAACATTTTCTTGGAATAAATCTGTGTTTTTGAGTTTGTTCTCCCAGGTTCTTGATGTTAGTTGCCCAGTTGTCCCCTAGAAACAGGGTGAAAACTCTGCAATTCAGTGATCTTGCCACTCCAGGGCCAGCAGATCCTTTTATAAGCTCTCCAAAGAGTTCTGTTCTGGGCTTTCATTGAACTGATCCAATCTGGTCTAGTTCTCCCAGGTCCAAGAATACTTACATGTCACTTCCCAGAGTGATGCTCCCAATGACCCTTCCCATCCACACCCTGGAGTGGAATATCTCTTCCCACAGGGGTGCCTTTCCTAGAGACTAGAGGGGCAACCTTCGTCCCTTCCCCTGTGTTTTGCTTGAGTGAGTCATAATCTATTCCTGGCCTCTCAGAGCCTCCCTCCAGGATGCTGTAATCACAGCACTAACCTGTGTTCACATTTCCCATTATTGAGCAGAAATTCCCCTGTGCCTCCACACAGCCTGGCTGCTTCCTAATGACCCCAGTTCCCAACTTCTAATGGCCCCATCCTCATTTCTCCCAAGAGCCAGCTCTTTCTGCTAGTGTTTTAAGAATCTTGATCCAGACGAAAATCCTCCCATGATGTCCATCTGGTCAAATTGAAGGTGATGTAAGCAATGAGACAGAGAGACGGGTGTGTCTGCATCGATAGGACAGAGGAACCTCCCAGGACTATCCATCTTCTGTCTCCTCCAGTGACATCCAACTGCCCTTCTCCTAGTCTGGGATTTGGGGATGACAGACAACATCCCTAATTGCCAGTGCCACACTACAGAGACGGGGTGGGTGCTGGGCTCTGAGCATAGCCCCTGCTTCCAGCCCTCATAACGACCTCCTGGAGATGCTGCTTCTTTCTTAGTGCGCAAATCCTACTCAGAAAGTGGATGTTCCCCTTTGCACTTAATCATGTGGGAGATTTAACCCTTGGAGGAAATGGTAGCAGGGACAGCAGAGACTTTTGTGGATGTGGATCTGTTCCAGGGTTGGAGCTGTTTGTTCTATCTCAAGGAGAAGGCCCTCATCCACTCTTGACCTCAACTGCAGTTTCCTCAAAATGGATAAAATGCTGTGCTGATGTAGAGAACGGCGATCAGAAGTGATTACAAAGCATGCCGCAAGCACAAACATAATGATTGTTTTAAAAAAGGAAAATGTTATCAGCACTGGACAATGCAAGCATCTCCTCTATTTTTTTTTTTTTTGGTTCCTATGAAGCCACCTGGCGATCAAGTTTTCCATTTCTCCCTTCCTTGATTAGGGTGGGATAAGGTTCACATGCTTCCATGACCAACTGCCAAGTACATGGGTTTTATATTAGGCACCTATTTCTGGGAAGAGATGGGTAGATGGTCAGGGAGAGAAAATAGAAAAAATGGTTTTCAGTTGCAAACTCAAGAAGTTACCTCTGAACTTCGATGTAATAGTTAACCAGTAATTAAATTATTAAAACAAAAATAGCCTTCTCTCCAAATCCCCAAGGAATTGCTAAAGAGTAAACTAGAGCTCTTGTAATGACAGTAACACAAAACGGCAGCAGGACACTCCAGAGAGATGCGGGTCGGGAAAGCTGCCTGCTGAAACTCCTGGTCACCTGGATGTTGAGCTGCTTCTAGCACTCCTGCCTCAATCAGGTTTAAGGAGAAAGTCATGTGTTAGCTCAAAAAATCTGATGATGTTCTCACTTGGTTCCAGGAATTCTGATAGAGCCTGGAGGTTCGGAGGTGAGTAAGCTAGAGAAAGTTCCTCGTTTCATAGAAATTTCGTTCTAACGGAGTAAAGGAAGATCATCAACTGGTAAAAAGCCAACAGACACCATAGTCTCACAGCCTGATAGCTACTTGAAAAAAATTAATAAAGGTCATAAAATGTCAACGTTGTTAGCAAAGGACTGAGAGTAAAGTCTGCTTCTCTGCCTTCCATTCCATTCTTAGGAACCAAAGACAAATTTTTGAAGGGAAAATGTGATTATGCATAATCACTGGACTTTGGCATTTCATTACTGGCCCTTTAAATATCATCTTCTTTCCTCCACGAAACTGCGCATATCGTAAAAGTGGAGACAGGGCCGCTTTTTCACTTCACCCCCTCACTGTTGCACATAGTCAGAGCGCAGTAAATATTTGCTGGATGGATGGATGAATTAAAAGAGGATCTATTTGGTAGTGGTGGAAGGGACTGCTGTGACTGATACTTAAGACAGGTGCGAGCCAGTTGGTGTCTATCGAGGGAGCACCCAACTGGAGAAGCAACATGAAGCAGAACATAGGTTGCCTGTGGAGTTAGGAAACTGACTCTAGGTTTGGCTCATCATTGGCTCCAAATACGTCAACTTCACGGCCCTTTCTGCTGCAACCCCGGCATAGGAGTGTGGATAGGTAAACCTCAGAGCAGCAATTTGATGGTATTAGGTCTAGAAGGATTTCCATTGTTAGGCCATTGAGAAGAACGGTCAATTCAATGACTTAATATTGCCATTTAGAATCCCAAGAATGCAGGAGAGATTGTAGGGTCAAGAGGAGATGAGCCTAGCCCTCAGGGGTTCTTAAACACCTAGATTATGGTGTTTATGAAGCTACTCTAAGTTCTTCCTTTATTTGCAGAATTGGCATAATCACCAAGTAATGAGCTTTGCTGTTAGTACACCTGATTCTGTTTATGCCCATTACCTTTGCTTAAACATTATATCCACATCATTCCTAAAACGGTTATGTTTCCTGTTTAAGCCAATTGGAAGTCTGAAGGCTAAAAGCTTGTTTGAAAAATCAAAGATCTGAAAGTCAAACTGGCTTCATCCGTGAATTTCCTAAGAGAAGAGAGATTCAACTTCAGGCTGGACATGTCAAGGATGTTAAAGATCAAACACTGGCAAATAACTGAAAAAAAAATGTCTGTATGAAATGCTGCCTGAACCTGACATTTTGTGAGCCTGTGACACAAAACATTCATTTGGTGAGCTGTCAAAGAAGACTTTATCCTCATGCATCCATGACAAATACTTGGGATGAGGATCCAGGGGATTTTCTAGTCCTTGGTTTTCTCATCTGTGAAAAGGGGTTGAAAAATCCTATCTTCCAGAATTGTTGTAAGGCTTCCAAGGAGTAATACTTGGGAAATACCAGGTTCCTAGTCAGCACTTAGTAAATCTCAGTTAAATTTGAATCTGAACTCTTTCAATACAGGGGCACCGAAAGTTTAGCATTTCTCAATAATATAAGCTACCCTGAGCCAAGGCAAAAATCAGTAGGACTCCAACGTTCCCACTCCCTGATTATGGAAGCAGTGAAAAATGTGTTGATTTTATCCTTTTGGTGAGTTGTACACCCACCTAGTAAGACCAGGCCTAAACATATGGTCCCAATTTCTTGTCTCAAGGGAAAGATCAGTATTCTTAGAGAAGCTAATTTTTACCAGTCTCTGTAAAAAGCAATTTCCCATCCATGGAAAGTGGATTGGCCTGAACAGGCTCTTAACTGTGCTCAAGGCAGATGCCAAGCCCAGCAGAGGGCATTTGGCTGTGCTAGCTCTACTTCTATCCACTCTCGTCTCCAACCTCTACCCTCTGTCTATCTATGAGACCTCACAGGTCTGTTCCTCTATGAAGCCTGTCTTGATCGCTCTAACTGGGTTTAACTCCCGTTAGCACAGGTTGTCACTGTGTCATGAACATACATCCTTGCGGTAGTGTTAAGTTTGGATTTGTGAAGGTTTGGGTAATACTATTTCTCCCACTTGACTGTAAGCCCCGTCTGTGTTGGCTCCCTCTATCCCAGTGCCTAGCAGAGGGGCAGAACACACTCCACAGGAATACTTGCGGAAAGGAGAAAGAATGCTTGAGAGGCTGTTGGCTGAAAAGAAAACTGAAAGCAGGAGAGACCAACCATTGTGTGGATAGGCGTCTCACCGCACCGGGCAAAGCCGGGCAAACAGAGGGAGTGGAGGGCTACAACAGGAGGGATTTAGGACAGTGTTCGGGAAGAAAGCTGCTTTGCAAACATCCTTTACAATTCAGGGCTGCCTCAAGAGTTACAGTGGGATCCTAGGGAAAACAGCCAGCAATTATATCAGCCTCTGCAAACACAATAATCTGCTTTGCTCCAATCCCGATTTTTATTTTCCATAGGTTTTAAAGAAAAGTTAGAAGATAAACTTTACGGAGAAAGATTATAAGCAGGGTTCTGGCTAGGCTTTTTAAGCTAGGGGGATTTAAGGAAAGGAGACAGCACTATCTCTCTGAGACCAAGTGAGTCTCTGGGGATGGGTGGAGCCGAAAACCTCTCACTTGCTGGGCGATACTGTCTTGTGTTGACGTTCAAAAACATCCCCTTTAAGTTATCAAAAGAACCATCTCTTAGGTGCTGTCTGTTAGGGTAGGAGGTGGGCATGCCTAGGTCTTCTCCTGCTTCGAAGGAAAGAAGGAAGCTAGCTGGGGCCTTTCTGCTGAGCGTGTTAGACAACAGCACAGTGAGTACAGACACGTTTCCCTTGAATGCCAGGCTCAGAGCAAGGGTGAGGGTGGCATACAGGCATCTGCTAAGCAGAAAAAAGTCATGCCAGCAGGGGCTTCTTCACCAGCCAACCCTGCTCCTAGCTGGCAGGCCACTTCCCAGGCAGTTTCCAAACAAAAAAACAGAAGAGATTTCATTTCTCACTTCAATTATTATTAATATTTTTTTGGCTTCTGCATTCCCAGTCCCTACATTCTGAATAAACAACCTTATGTTGTAAATGGATAACTTGTAAGCCATAGGCACTCAGGGAGGGCAGAGAAGCTAGCTAAGGTGTGGGGAGGGGGAGGGGAAATCTGTGCTCCAGGACTGGGCCTGCCTACTGTGTTGTTATGTGACTGGGCTACATGTGTCTCCACGTCTGTCTCCGCGTCCTCACCTGGAAAGAGGGATAATTTTGCATGCCATCTTGACAGCCACAGTGGTGAAGCCATACAAGATGAATTAGAAGAAGGCACCTTGAAAAAAAGAAAAAAGAAAACTGTGTAAGAAAAAAAAAACCCACACACTTTGTTAAATATGCTCCACTTGATAATTCTTCATAAAATTAGAATCACAGTGACTTCCAGTATGCAGTTGAGTTTACATGAAGTCTGAAGTCACTTGTTAAAGAAATACTTTTACAGGCTTGCTTCACCGGGCAGAGAACTGGCCCTACTGTCTCACAGATGTGGGACGTGACCAGCTTCGATCAGAGTGGCCTTGATCCAGTTCACTTTTCCTCTGTGAGTTGTAGTTCCCACATTAGTTGAGGAGAGGCTGCTGAGGTGGATGTGTGTTGCAGGATGAAGATAAAATGTTCCCCAAAGATACAGAACACATATCTTTTCTACTCATTCCTGGATTCTTGAGGAAGATCCAGTTAAAATGCAAGTGTTAAACACAGTGATGGGGCCGGATGGACCTAGGGTGATAAACATGCTTATTCTGAGAATTGGTAGTTATGCATAGGACTGAATGGGGCTGGTGTAGCCCCAGCGGCATAGGTTCTACTGAGACCTATCCCCAGATGGGAGCCATAAGCACATGGGCAAGTGTACAGCCATGCAACCACACCAGTAAGTGGGTAGAACCAAGAGCTCCAAAGCTACACAGACAGGTTCCATTCCTGCTTCTGCCTCCCCTGCTCAGTGCCTCTGTTCACCCATGGGCACACCAAGCTCTAAACAGGATGAAGCATGGCAACTACTCAACACAGTATCTGGTACAGAGTAAGCCCTCGGAAATGATAGTATTATTATTAACAATAGTATTATCAATCCGAAGTACCTGGGGCTGCATATATCTCAGTTCTCTTTTCCTCCTGGGCAATTTCCATTTTCTAAACCGAGGTCCTGCTTTTTCAGCAAGGAAACTGCTAAATGCTCCCGCATCAGCGTGTGCGTGTGTGTGTGTGTGTGTGTGTGTGTAGGGGCAAGGGGCTCAAGTGTTGGAAGTGGCCCAGCGCGTGTGTGTGTGTATGTGTGTAGGGGCTGGGGGCTTAAGTGTTGCAGGTGGTGAAACGTGTGTGTGTGTGTGTGTCTCTCTCTCTAAGGGCTGGAGGCTCAAGTGTTAGAAGTGGTTCAGCGCGTGTGTGTGTGTGTTTAAGTGCGTGTATGGGTGTGTGTAAGGGCTGGGGGCTCAGGCACTGGAGGTGGCTCCGCGTGTGTGTGTGTGTTCAGGGGCTGTGGTCTCACCTGTCTGAGGTGGCCCAGAGGCCGGTTAGAGACTGGGAGGGAGGGCAGAGGCAAGAGAGTCAGCGGGTGCTCTCGCGAGAGTTCACCGAGTTGGTAAAGTTACTAAAACACAAAATACACATTCGCACCAGGAAAAAAAACAACCCCCCGCTCGTCCCGCCCTGTCCCTCCAGGCTGCGCAACGCTGGAGGGCGATGGGAGCGCCAGACAGGTAGGTCGAGCCTAGCACGTGAACCTTCCACCGGCCCGAGCTCCGGGGCGCCGCGCCCCCAGCCCCGCCTCGCCTTAAAAAAAAAAACAAAAAGAAGAAGAAGAAGAAGAAGAGAAAAAGCCGCAGGGAGAGACGCGGAGGCCGCGGCGTTCCGGGCTCCATCCGCGACCTAGAAGAGGAGGAGCCCAGACGCCCCTCGCGCGTCATTGGTCCATCCGCCTAGCAACAGCTGCGGCCGGACCAATGGGAGCCGCGAAGCGGCCGGCCCCGCTCCAGAAACATGGAGTGGAGACGTTCGCTGTCCCAGCCAGGAAAACAAACCAGTGGACCCTTCGCATCCTAGCGCTGACTTTTCTTTCTTACCCTGCCTACCCTCCCCCTTTCCCTTTGCAACTTGTCACCAAGTTTAGTCCCCAATGCATGCTTTAGTCCCCAAATTCTGACGCGGACGGAGGGCCTTTTCAGAAGGTCATCTCTTCCCACTCAAGGGGGAAGTCTCGTTAGAGTCAAAAGAACGGACAGTTTGAAAAACATTTGTCAGGTTTTCGAATCTCTCTTGGTCTTCAATTACAATAGCTTCACTTTTAATATATAGTGTGTTTTCCGCAAGATCTGTGCCCAAAAAGAAGGGCGATTTGAAACACTTATGTACCGGGCTTTGACCTCGATTTTTGTTTGTTTTCTATGCTTTATTGCATTTAATCCTCGAATTAACCGTAATTCGGAGAGTGGGTTGCCATGTCTCCGTTTAATAGATGGGAAGTTGAAGTTCAAAATGGTGAGTGGAAGTGCCGGAGAAATTGTGGTGGTTAGTACATGGTTCGACAGGATTCAAACCCAAGCCAGTCTGATTCCCAAGACACTCTGTTTTCCTGATGCCAGGTACCTCTGCAAGCACTTTTCAGAACTGGCCATAAAGAAATTCTCTGACCTGCCTTGTTTGATTGTACGTCCTGCCCTATACTGGAGAGGATGAAATGTTACATAGAGAAGCTAAGAAAAATTTGGACAGGCCGTGCTGGGTTTTCTGCCCCAGTCTCTTGCTCTTAGATCAGACTGTTCTTTGTCCAACCCTGTTTCTACCTGGCTATCCGTGCTTCATCAAACCTAAGCATAAAAATATACCCTGGGTATCTATTCTTACCCTGGGTCTTTGGGTCTTCATTTTGAGGGCTCCCATGTCACATAAAGCTATGATTAAGTAGATTTGTTATGGCTTTTCTTCTGTTAATGTATTGTCAATTCATTCAGCAGACTCAGATTAGAAACTTCAGGGGGAAAGTTTGAACTTTCCTAAGGAAATGGTGCATATTGCAAAAATCGAATCCAGACTCTCTGTGTGTTATTCTCAAACCCCAGCTGGCTTTGTGGGTGTGTGACCAGCCCAAATGCACAGGTCCTGTACTTAGAAGGTCTTACACTTGGTTTACTGCTCTGCTGTTGCTGTTTTGAAATTCTTAATACGATTTGAAGGAGAGGCCCCGTGTTTTCATTTTGCACTGGGCCGGCAAATTATGTAGCTGCCCCTATGAATACAGCTTATTTAAATGTCCCAGAGGAATCTCACGTTTTGAGAATGTAGAACCTCAAGGAAAGGAGGAAGGTTGTAAGCTGGCCGCCCCCACCCACCTCACACACACACTTAGACTTCAGCACACACCCTGCAGTTAGTCAGTTTTATGACATTATAACTGTAATTTGAATCCCCAGTCTATTAAATGGGAGTGTATATATTTATGGCGGTGTTTATGTGTGTGTGTGTGCATGCACACGTGCGTGTGAGAACTCAGAGAGGGAACAGAGGTTTGGGGCATTTACAATGCACAGATACAGCCCTGGTTATTGACTCTATCCTTTCCCTTTGGAGACATTACAGGGGATTTGGACAGGCCCTGCTTTTATGAAATACACTGTTAGGAGGTTTTGGAGTGCCTGTAAACACTGGACTGTGAGTGAGGTTGGTGTGATGCCGGCTGTCCCTGAAGGGAACAAGCCTTCAATACACTTCCACTGGGCCTGGCAGAAAAGCCACATATTCTTGCATCTGTGTTACCCTGAAATCCAAATCTTCTTTTCTAGTAAAGATAGGCCTAGTTTTTATTCTCTGGATTGTGCTGATCTAATTCACGTAGTTAAGAGATGAAATGATAAGTAAATCACCAATGGCGTGAAAGTCTGAAATAAATGAAGAAAGCTGGAGTGTTTCCCTGACATTTAGTTTACCAACAAAGATAATCACACTCTGTGGCAGGTGTAAGGGACTCTAAGATGGCTTTGAAACCGTCTCCAAATTTTGGAGCACTTTATTTGGTGTCGAGGGAAACTGAGGCCCTGAGAAATAGGCTGTTACTGCAGGTTACACAGCTAGGCGGTAGTGATATGTGGGTTAGAATCCACTTTGCTTGACTTCTGACCCAGGGCTCTTTCTTGCTTTTCTGTATGAACAGAAAAATACCATAAAACATTACGTAATCAGTTCCTGTGAAGAGAGGTTATTGACTTAATAAATAACCACATGGGGTCACAAGGGAGGGTTATCAGTGGTTGCTGTTTGCTCCTGTTTCGTCTATATCATCTCATTTAAGAGAATATTCTGGATAATATTGAGAGAATGTAGACAGTATTGTTTCCATTTAACAGATGAGGAAAGTGAGGCACAAAGTCGTGGAGTAACTTGCATAGGGTCCCTCAGCTTGTTAATGGATTAGCCAAGATGTAAACTCTGTTATTCTTCATTCCTAAATAGCAACATTAAACCATTCAAATTATCATGGAGCCATGCTAGTGCATTTTAATGACAATATAGATTAAAGAAATGAGTCTCGTACTACCAAATAGAATTTAACTATCATGGTCATCATTAAGCTCACTTTGGGTCATTAATTGCTCTTAATTCAGTTTTGTCTCAAGTTTTTTTGGGGCTTTATGGTGATGATGTGTTACTTCCCTTTGACACTGCAGATCAGTTTAAAGTGTATTTGATGTCGACTAAAAATCTCAGTCTAGCCAAAATATAAGTCTAATGATTTGCTTGGTGTTTCAGAAAAAAAAGCAATGATTAGCAAGTGACTTTGTTGATTAAACCATTTGGTTCCAGGTGAAACTGGCAAATGTCACCTGGGGTTTGTTGCAGAATCTCTGAGGTCTCAAAGCAGATCTGCTGATTCACAATCCCTACGGTGGTACTCACACTGGGCTGCACACGGGAATCACCTGGGGAGCATTAAAACTCCTGATGTTTGAATCCCACACCCTGAATTTCTGATGGAGTTGGTCTGAAAGACAGCTTGGTCATCAGGAGTTTTAAAAGCTCCCCCGTTGAATCTAATGTGCAACCGAAGTTGCGATCCATAGGAGGAACTTGGGAAGCTGTGTGTTTAGTAAGCATCCCAGGTGATGGTTCCAATCAGAGGAGTTTGGAAACACTCGTGCAACTTACATGCTCTGTACAAACCAGGAGCAAGCACTCTGACGGGCTATTTAAGAAAAGTTTGTGGGAGAGAAGCCAGAGACAGCCTAGAGATCGCCTACAACCAGGCTCACCTGGCATAATTTGTGTATTTTTCTAGGAAATAGAGTTTTGAGTGATGAATTGAAGAGAGAAAGAAAGAACCAGTCGGAACCTTGAAACCACTTCCCATTAATTCTATCATACTCTTATGCAGTCACCCCTTCATCCTCCCAGTCTATATTTATTGGTCATCTATTATATACTATGAATCACTTTAGTAAAGGGCTAGGAACCCAGTGATGAAAAATCATATAGATACCTGGGATCTTGTAATATTTAAAATGCTTTTGGCTGGCTTAAATGACTGAGGAAAGTCTCGACTGAATTAAAATAAAACAAGCAGGATAGTATATTTGCATCCTGGCCCTTTTCATCATACTTATTCTTTCTCAGAGAAAGCTTACATATAATGGCAGCAAAATCCATTGAAATCCTGATTTAGAAACACTTAGCAACCCTTGTCAACAATAAGTCCCATGATATTTTTAGCATCTCATCAGAATTAAAACAAATAAACAAACAAACAAGCAAGCAAAATCTCTACACAATGGAGCAATCTTGGAGAGGGAAAATTATAGCTTACTGATCAAGTTTTAGGGACGGATTTCTAACCGTGAAACCATAGGCGGTAAAAGTACACGGATTGCAGCCACTCCTGGGCAAAGAGAAGTGGACCAGATTTGGAAGGCAGTATTCCATCCTGAGTAAAGGAAAGAAGAGCGCTTTTCTTCCTCCCTTCTTATCCACTCTTCTTTCCCTGAAAGATTTCAGATTCCAATATTCATTTTCTAGTGTATACATATTAAGTGTCCAGTTCATACTAAGACAGTCTTTTTTTTCGAGATGAAGTTTCACTCTTGTTGTCCAGGCTGGAGTGCAGTGGTACCATCTGGACTCACTGCAATTGCTCCTCCCGGGTTCAAGCGATTCTTGGACCTCAGCCTCCTGAGTAGCTGGGATTACCAGGAGCCTGCCACCACACCCGGCTAATTTTTGTATTTTTAGTAGAGACGGGGTTTCACCATGTTGACCAAGCTGATCTCAAACTCCTGACCTCAGGTGATCCACCCGCCTCGGCCTCTCAAAGTGCCGGGATTGCTGGTGTCAGCCACTGCGCCCAGCCATGCTAAGACACTCTCAACCTTAGC